ACAACATTGTACAAGTCTTCTAGTGGATGCGTGGGGAAATTTCTCCAGGGCATATATCCAGGAGCAAAATTCTGGGTTATGAGGTATAATCACCCCCAGCTTTACCATAAATTGCCTTCCAAAGCCCTGGCACCAATTTATATATCCACCAGCAGTGAATGAGAGAGTTCCTTGTTACTCTTTTCGGTATCTCTTTTCAGTTCAAGATGTGTTTATTAGGTTCCTATTGCATTCTTTAGTATCTTGTGGAGAACAGAGAAAGAAGGGGGTGAGAGGGTAGGAAGGCAAGCTACATGCCCTCAGGTGCTCACAGTCTAGGCACAGAGCTATGGCACAAAAAATAATTCTTCTCAACTGGTGGACTTGTGGGCCACTGCAGTGGGAGGAGTTGGGATGTTAAGCATTGATCCTGGCTGATGTTGGGTCTGTTAACTAAAATCACAGAATAAGGAGTAGGGTCAGGTTTGATACGATTGGTTTGGGAAGTAATGGCTTTGAGTTGCCATCAGGAAATATGCTGCAACTTGTGGGGCATATACACAGCTGAGGATGAAGGTGTGGGTTCCACCCACAGAGAGCAGATAGTATTGCTGTAGGAGTCAGTGACATTGCTAAGGGGAAAGTGTGGAGTAGTGGACAGTATTTGTCTCTGTGTGTGTAGTCTAAGGATATGCCAATGCTTAGGGGGCAGGAAGAAGAAAAGGTCTCGGAGCAGAAAACAACCAGGAATTTTGGAAGCGGAAACCAGGAGCGGACCTTGGCACTAAAGGTGGGGAGGAGGGCTTACGGCAGGATGGGACACAGGATGGCATGTTGCAGATTGTTAGCTGAGCAGAGGATGGCAGGTGTGATTGTCACCTCGAGGAGAACAATTTCCGTAGAGTTGTAGGGGGACGCCTGTACACAGCGTCTGGGGAATGACAGAGAGTGAGGATGTGAAGTCAGCAAGGGTAGGATTCTGTTTGGAGCCATTGGTGATGCCAGGTAGACATAGGTCAGTAGCAGCTTAAGGGAGGAGCAGTGCTGAAGGAAGGCCGAAGGGTTTGAAATAGTAATAATGATAAGAACAATAGGAGCATCTAACAGTCATCAGGTGTTTCTGGCAGCCGGGCACTGTACTCTGGGTTGTATGTAGATTATGTCATGTAATCTCCAAAACAGTCCTGTTGAGGTAACTATTAGGATTATCCTCTTTTTACAATGGAAAAAAAAAAATCAAGCTCAACAGATTAGGCAACTTGCCCAAGGTCACATAATTGGTATGAGATGGATCTAGGGTTGAAAATGCAAAAGACAAACAATAATTGTTGGAGAGAGAGAGCTGTGGAGATGGGATCAACGGCTTGGAAGAGGGGTTGACTCTGGGATCAAATGTACTTTTCAACTATCTCCCCATCCTTCTGTCCATCCATCTAGCTACCAGGCCATCCATCCACTATTCTATCCACCATATGCCCATCTCTTCGTTAAGTTTGTCTATCCACCTATCAGTTCATTCATTTGTCGGCTTATCCAATGTACTGAGCACTTGCCCTGTCCCAGCCATGGTGCTGGATGCCAGAGTGCAGTGAGTGAAAAACAGATGTGATTCTTCTGGCACACAGCCACTTGGAAAGCCTGACATTAACCTGCCACTCACCCAAACCAGTGGAAATTCCGGTTGTGGCAAATGTCAGAGAAGTGAGGGATTGGTTCCATGAGAGCCTCTCGCTGGCGCATTAGTAAGGACCTTTAGGGAGGGCTTCCTTGAGGAAGGGGTGTATCATCTGATTGCTGAAGGACGGTTAGGAGTTAACTGGGCCTTGAAGGGAGGGCAGACCATTGTGACCATGGGCAGAGCAAGTTTGAGAGTCTGGCATGGTGGGACTGGGAAGGGAAGGATGAGGGAAGAAAGCCATTGAGTGTGGAGCAGTGTGGTATGGGAGGGCACTGGAGAGTGAGGTGGGGGGTAGTTGGATTTGTTTTTGCCTAATAGCATCAAAGGGGTTTAAGCGGTACGTGTGAAAAAACAGGGGCACATAATTGGATATCCATTTTGAAAAGAATGGTCTGGCTGCAGCAAAGGCAACAGAAGCATTTCTACTTACGAGGAACTTGGGTGCAATCTGGTTGGAAGCTGGAGCTCAAGTACTTGTCTAGGAGCATCATTTCCGTAGCACCACACCGTTTATTTTAAGTCACGGAGGTGCATGTGGTCGTGGTGGTGGGGCTTCCAATGAGATGATGAGAGTGCTGAGGTGTTGAATCTCCGTAGCCTTTTGGAGCTGCCGCAGGGTTGCCAGTAAGACCAGAGAGCAAGAGAGTCGTTGGTCTGGAAAAGAATGGGGCCGACAGAGAGAGACTTAGAAGATAGTTGATGAGATAGAAGAGGGAACATGACCTGGATTTCTCTAGAAGTGGGGCTTGCACTTGGTCTCCACTGTGGGCTGAGCAGTCCCGGTGGGCATGCCCTGTATGGATCATACAGCACAGGACCTGAGGCTCGCCCTTGAAAGCTTAGGTTTAGAATCCCTAGACTTGTTGGTTTACTTCACTGGGTGCTGAATCCCTAATTCACCCCTAAG